GGTCAAACACTGTCTGGCCTGTGAGTTAAGCACACACAAGACAAGTGGGGCTTTAGTACAACAGAACACATGTATACAGAGGGAAAAATATACTGCTTGATTGAATGATATTTACAGGCTGGCGACAACTGTTATAAATATCAAGGAGTCATTTACATCCAAACCAGCCTCAGCTTGTGCCTCTCATGTAATCATAGATTTTACAGTTTTTGCATTAATAATCACGTTTTACTCACAAAAATAACCTTGGTGTCTGGCAAAACTAATCAGAGATTATAGCTGCTTATTCAGTCAGTTGCTATTTTTATTTAAGTGAAGGAATGGAGACTCAACACCAGAAGGAATATTTTTGGTACAAGCAGCAGTCTTAAATATAGAGATGTATGGTTTGTTAAAGGACAAGGCTTTCTTACTATCAAAAAGAAGTGAAAAGGAGCCAGTCGTGATTGCCAGTTTTGGCTGATTGGTCTTACCATTCTTGTTCTTGATGTTGGGGCTGGCTCCACTTTTGAGCAGCTTCAGGGCACACTGCTTCTGGCCTCGATACGCTGCAGAGTGCAGCGGAGTGTTACCCAGCAGATCTGTGCAGTTGATGTCTGGAGGCTTTTTCCTGCTGAGCTGCAGCAAACACGCAGGACAAAAACAGATGGGTTTTTTTTCCCCAAACGTCCCGCAAATCTTTATTATTCTGCTAAGAACTGTAGCATGACTCTTTGATTTCTCACTCTGTGTCCGAGAGCTAGAATAGTTAAAGTGGAAACATACAACTTCCCCACTTACTTACTGTGGTTGTGGAGATATTTCAGTCTGGACCAAGGTGGTGGGTTGACAGACATTACTATCACTACAGCCACGCTGCCAGCAGGGCTGATAACTCTGAACCGAACCCCCAAAACAACCCCCCCCCCACCACCACAGTAACTACAGAAAATTCCTCCTGAGGACATTCAACTATCATCTAAGATTAAAGCTCATGTTTCAGATTTTGGCTTCATATCTTTGGAAGTATTAGAACAGATATCAGCATGTGGTACTAACCAGCTGAGTTAGAGTTGAAAGGTCTCCATCTCGTGCAGCGTCCAAAAGTTCCTCCTCCAGTTTTCTCTCCTCTGTTCTCTCGGCCGCTGGATCAGTAAAAGGATGGGATTTACACAAAAAAGCGAGTGATTTTAGAATCTATAGATTATGTAAACAACTTGTACCAATGAATATTAAAACATTAAACATGGAGACTGATAAATATGTTTCCATGATATCTCTTAGATGACAACGTGTCCCTCTCACCTTCTAACATGCTTCTGATCTCTGGATTTTGAGTGACATCTTTAGGAATCTGTGCTGTCCCATTGATGACAGTAGCACATGCATCATAGTGCAGCAGCAGCATGACAACCTCCTGATCAATACGTGATTGATTGATTGATTGATTGACTGAATGGATGAATAAATGCATGCACAAAATCATACTATCAACAAAGAGACGAGAAGAGTAGAGAGAAACCTAAAATCAGAAAAATCGATGGCGCATTCAGGTACCTTTCTTCCTGTGAAGGCAGCTTTGTGCAGCGGCGTATCTCCGATATTATTGGGCAAATTAACATCTGCCCCTGCCTGCAGGGTGTAACAAAACACACGTTAGCCATACAGTTATTCATAATCTAAAGCAAAATTCTTTTATAACTTTAATTGTTTTTAAAAAAGAAAACCTGCCTTCAGTAATTCCTCCACTACATCTTTGTGTCCAAAGTAACAGGCCAAGTGAAGAGGCGTCCATCCCAGGTTAGACTTTTTCTTACCTGAGAAAACAGTACATAGTGTGTTACACCACACGCTATCATTGATATTGCTCCCCTGTGTTCCTCATGTACCTTTGCAGTTTATGTTGATGTGCGTCTCCTCCTTTATTGTGGACATGAGGAGCCTCTGAATCCCGGGCAGATCTCCGTTCCGCGCGTATTGCAGGAACTGCTCCTCTGGCTCCAGTTCCTCCATGGACCCCTGCAGGGAAGAAACAGGGAGAGCACAAACAGATGCTATTTATTTCTGTGACTCAACTGTAATTAAAAAGATGCTTTCAGAAGCACACGTGCACTGAGTCTCTGAAAAGAAACCCAGAAGCTACAGTAGGTTTATGCTCATTACTAATCATGAGCCTGTAAGTTTATCAGTGGCAGTACTTTCTAAGAAAACTTTAAGAAATTATACTTACACTTAATACTTAATACAAAAGCTTGATTCAGTACAGTCAGATGGCTGAGAGGATTGTTCTATATTTTGAATGGTCTTTAATGCTTTTAGAAAGTCCTCCTTACAAATACTGTAGATGTTATTTTGTGTGAAGAGTTTGTTTAAACAAACTGGTTCAACCAGACTGACAAGGGCAGAAAGAGTCAGCAATCCATTTGAGAAACAGTTAAATAAGAATATAGGATTTTAAAATACCCTCTATGACAAACTGGAATGTCTGAATATACTGTTTTTATCTATGTTATAACAGCCATAAATGAAAAAAGAGTCTACAGCTAAGCTATACTGAGTGAAACATGGACATCAGCATGCTAACATGCTCATGTTGAAGGGCCAGCATGTAGGATTCAGTGGCATTTAGCAGTGAAGGGGTAGATTGCAACCAACTCCCCTTCCAAGGGTGTAGGAGAAAAAAAGGATGGGCGTGAAACTCTTAAAAATGCAAAAGGCTCTGGGCTACTGTAGAGACATGGTGGTTCAACATGCTGGCCTGTTTGGAAGAGGATCCACTGTAGATAAAACCGGCTCAATTATTATTATTATTATTAGCCTATTATTGTTAGCCTCCTAACACACTGGACCTTTCAGTATATATCAGATTTTAATCTGATGATGAAGTTAGAGGAAAACTTAAGATATCACCAAAGTTATTACAATTCACCATGAATCATAAATGTATGCACCAAATTTTATGGCAATTTATTATTTATTTAACAATAGCAGAACCTTTAAAATTACTATTCAAAACTCCAGAGTTCAAATTGGGGAAGTTGTTGCTTTATATTGCTTAAGTCATCATCTGTCATTGTTTAGGACACTAAAACGGAAAACATCACAAGAGTCTGTTTTGTCTGACACGGAGGAAAAAGCAACTGTCAAATGGGAGAAAAAGGAAATCTGAACTATTACAAAAGGTGGCAGTCACCAGACCAGCCTTACTGGAAGGAAACACGTCCTCCTTTTCCCCTTTACACAGCCTCCTGTCCACATGACGCTCTAATCAAAACCCTAGTATGCAGCGACGACAATGGGAAAGCTTTAAGCAACGTTGTGGCATGTCACATGGCTAACGTCAACAAGTAGAGATGAATCAGCTGTCTGCGCTGAAACAGGTTTACCTGGGACTGAAAAGCATGTGACACTAACGGTTACTCAGCCGGTCTTTCTACTGTAGGCTTCACTCTCTGGGAAACACCTTAAATCCCTATAAACCGTAGTTTAACAGTATAATCAGGATACAGGCAGAGCTTTCTTTGGTGTCTCTATTATCAATCATTTAAAAAAATGCAGCTTTCATTTGTATTTCTATTCATTTATTATAATGTTTAATCTGCTCTCTCATTTGACTCCCATTTGTGCTCTGACAGGTTTATTGTTCAGCTGCACAGTGTCACACCTCACACATATCTTGGACATAAGTCTTTAAAAAGGAACTTTAAAAGATATTTACAACTTTTTTATTCAACTGAGTAATGAATATTCCTTTTATGCCTGAAAGTTGAACAATTAATTATTCTATGGTCAAATGATCAATAGATTAGATTTTTTTCTATTTGTAAACTGATGAAAAGTAGACGCTATGATAGTATATCATTAATATTATTATAATTATTGTATTGTCATATGTGTTTAACACTTTAAATACCCAAAAGTAGTACATTTACTCAAGTATTGTATTTAAACACTTAAATTTCTATATTTATTCATTTATTCAACTTTATTTAAGTATTTCCATTTCATGCTACTGTACTTTATACTGGAATTATTCTACTTTTCCCCATTACATTTATTTTACAGCCAATACAAACAATTAATGTCATATATAATAATTTCTCAGTAACACAAGCCATTTTCAGTAGTATTGTTCAGTAGTACATTTTGCTGATAATACTTCTGTACTTTCACTTTAGTATGATTTTGAATGCAGTACTTTCACAGCTAGTAGAGTACTTTTGCATTAATGCACTGGCACTTTTACTAGTAAGTAAAGTGTCTGAGTATTTCTTTCACCAGAGCTCTTATGTGACTTTTGCAATCCCAGAATCTGCACAGTGGGATCATGAAATACAACTAACATCATTTCTTGTCTATCTCAAATCCTCCCAGTGGAAGGCTGCATTTGTTATGTAAAGTGAATCACAGTGAAGTGATGCCAGGTGTTTGGCTGGAGCAGCTGTTCTTGGCAGGTGACATGAATAACACATCAGCAGCCTAAAGCCGGACACTTACTGCTTCAACTAGTCCAGTCCTGTGAAGTCCAATCCAGGGTGTTCAGCTCTCACTCGGGCCCTCTGTGAGGCTGCATGTGATGTTTTAAGCCTCTGTGAGCCGTTTCCTGCGGCTCTACTGCGGCACAAACAGCGCGGAGGCACACTTCATACTGTCACTCACACACTGCACATTTATCGTCTTATACTGACTCTACCAATGGCGAAATATAGCTCTCTCTCTCTCTCTCTCTCTCTCTCTCTCTCTCTCTCTCTCTCTCTCTCTCTCTCTCACACTCACTCACACACACACACACACACACACACACGCCTCTGTTTTCTGTTTACACTGACATCAGCTGATCTCCGCAGACCGGAACTCCACCGGGAAAAACGTCTAAGCCTTTCAAAATAAAAGCCGTGGCCCTTTTTTTCAGACGCAGTGTAAAACGTACAGTGACGTGTACGCGTCCCTTACACGTTGACCAGAAATTAAAAATGATAAATTACCATTGATTTATTCGTCTTTTGCATCGTACTTGTCGAAAATGTTGTCCGCGACCAGAACCCGGAAGCCAAAACCCCTCGCACCCAATCAGCTTTGCCCTGGAAGCAGTTAACGCGTCCACAAACAGGCTGTATCTCAACATGTAGTTCATGTGCTTTTACTTTTATGTACTCTGTTTTTTGACTGACTCAGATTCCTATTTTTAATAGCTGACTCTCGATGATGAAATGCACAAATGGCCGACATCATAAATCCGGACAATGAAGGAGATCTTCAGGCTCAAGTAAGTTTTCCCATGCTTTCACATAAAGTTAAGACAGCAAGTTGTGTTCAGTTTTTTTTCTTTTGTTGTAGTATTTGGATGTGGCCTGCAGAGAGCGTATAAGCCAATTTACAATGTTTTAATATTGAGCTCAAATAGCGAATCCAGGCAGGCTGACAAATCTGACACAAACAGGCCCTTTTCTCTATCTGTCTGAGACACAATGGAGGCATAATTAAAATGCTTGGGCGACTGTGCATAAACCATAAAACACACACACACACACACACACACACACACACACAGTGGAGGTTCCCAAGGTGTCTGGATTCATTAACACATATCCAATTGATGTTTGAAGCTCAGCAGGTGCTGCATGGTGCACAAAGAAGCAACACATTAACACAATGCAGCCAAAACAGCATGAAAAAAGACAAAAAGTGAACACAAATTACCACTATCACAAGCACTCATTATTCAACTGCTAAAACTGCTTGTTTTTACCCAGTGTCTTTGTTGGAGCCCCAGTTAGGGTCTCCCATGTATTACCATTACTTTTGGTTACATTAGGTCCAGTGTGTAGCATCTGGGAGGATCTGTTGAAATGGAATATAATATTCATAGGTATTTTTTCATTATAATCACCTGAATATGAGAACTGTTGTGTTTTCGTTATCTTAGAATTAGTTGTTTTTATCCACAGAGGGTCCTCTTCCATGGCGTCCGCCATGTTTAACTGCTGTGCTTCTACAGTAGCCCTGTCAACGCTAGATGTCACTAAATCCTACACACTGGTCTTTTAAACACATGATTTTTGGATCAAGGAATACCTGGCTGGTGACCTTTTTAAAAAAAAAAAAAAAAAAAAGAAAAAGGCTTTTACAATAACATTGTTCTGAAGGTATTTGCACAGTCCTCCAAGACACACAAAGGCACCATATTGTGTGTGTTGAATAATAGAAAAAGGTTTCAAACTGTATCCCAAGCTTCAACTACATTTCTCCTATCCAGATTGCCTGAAAAGTCAAATCCCCTTGCTGGTTTTGTATTATCATGCTATTATGTAGGAATATAAAATGACACAATGTAACATCAATATAGAAACATATAAGTGAAAATGTTCTGTTTAAATTTCATGTCATATAAACTGAAAAAAAAAAGCATACTCCTTAAATTGTTGAACTATTGCTTTAAATGACCGTCTGGGTTTTCAGTTTCTTTCTGGAAAATCAAATGTTTAGTTAACTAAGTTGTAGTTGAATGTTGAGTCTCTGCAGCAGTTTTTTAATATACATGAGGTTAGAGTGTAAAGCCTTCAGTATATCCCTGGTCCAAATGCTGAAACGACTTTACACATTCATTCATAAGTAATGATTGTGTTATTGTTTCCTCTCAATCAGATTGAAGAGGTCGAGGCTCTGTCATCCATCTATGGGGATGAGTGGTGTGTTATAGATGAAGCATCCAGAATATTTTGCATCAAAGTATCCGATGACTTGGACGAGCCAAAACTAACAGCATGTTTGCAGGTAGACAAAAAGAAAATCTTGCATATTAATCACATGTCGCTGGCATTGAAGATTGCCTGTAATCCAGTTTATTTATTTGTTCCTTATTGATCAGATAATTCTCCCACCTGATTATCCAAGCATATCTCCCCCCATCTACCAGATCAAGTAAGTCTATTTGCCTTTCAAATTTAATCTTGCGGTGATGTGCTGAACTGATAGAACAACATCCCACTCAAAAATCCACTCTTCATCCTAGTCAATAACCCTCTATTTGTTCTCGGCTTTTGTAGTGCAGCGTGGTTGCGAGGCCCTGAGAGGGCCAAATTGGCAAACAGCCTGGAAGACCTCTATGTGTGAGTGCTTCTCATAATTTCTGACTTCACAAGGAGGTACTGTAGAGTGATATTAGCCGCAACAAAAGCTTTTCATGGCTCCACAGGGCGATTTCTTTGTGGTCTGTGTCCCTTAAACAATTCATATGGAAATATTTAAATTTCAACAGGGAGCACATGGGGGAGAGCATCCTTTATCTGTGGGTGGAAAAAATTCGAGAATTCCTTGTGGAGAAGTCCCAGAGCTCAGAAACAGGTGAGGTGTGAAAAATGAAATTCATGCTTGAGGGTCACACTTACTCAGGTACTTCATAATGGCTTTAAACTACAGTTGATAGATTTATCAGTCCAGAAGAGCTTACTTTATAACACAGCGAGAGCAGGTTTTATTGCACTCATTGATTCACAAAGGCCCCGTCGCCTTTTGTTACTGTTGCTACGCCTGTCAAACTTTTAGTTCTTGTACGGCACATAGTCTACAGTGATAACAGCGACAGGTTCGATCACTTTAAATACGCAGTTGTTTTTTGAGCAAATGGGTGTTTTACATTTTACACCAGAGTGAACAAAACCATCTTTCTAATTTCCAGCCAATGCCCATGAGATCTGTCAGGTGAAATGACGATTCTAATTAAGTTATAGTAATTAAAATATAATTAAAATGTCATTCTAAAATAACCCTTGGATGGTATTTCTAGAGAAAGAAGATACTAGGATAAGTAAAACAAGTGGTTCTAATCTTTTTAAACAGCGTGCTTCACTTTTAAAAGAGAAATGAGTTTTAGGTTGTGCAGTTCAGCAAACATAACTCTATCTAATGCATTTAGCTCATGACATGTCTTTGGAAATAATGCTGTGTTACTACTGCTAATAGCTAGTTAGCCTAGCATGCTAGCATTTGCAGCTTACACCAGAGCAGAACAACACACTCTTTAACCCATTTCATACACTTTTGCTCGAGTTTATTTATTTTCGTTTATTCAATGTAAAAAAATAAAACATAGACCAAATATGTATCACTCTTAATACAGCACCATGCACATTGCTTCAACCAGCTTGACTGACATCCCATGCTTAGTTACGGTTGCTAAGCTCTGACTCCACGATCTTTTTTTGGAGGCGGGTTTAGCAAACAGTCAATTACATGCTTATTCAGCAAGATAAAGGCCGCTGTTCATAAGAAGGTTAATTATTAGAGCATTTGTTATAAACAAATAGTCGTATCAAAGGTCCTGCTTCCCTACCTGATGCGTCTAAATGGGTCTTCTGCTAAGATGCTCTTCCATGAGTAATACAACCATCCACTGTGGTCTAAAGTTGTGATAAGATGAGCACAAAGGCCCTGTAAGGGCATTAAAAACCCATCTGTCTGACTTTGAGTGACTGCATTGAATTAAGATCGATATCTGTGTAATGCCTTCTGTTACCTTGGCAGAATCTTTTGAAGTGTAAAAGATACCCAAATTAAAGATTTTCTACAAGTGTCACCGTGCACCAGGTTTTCTTGGGGAGTCTGGCCTGTCTCGGTTATCTATAGCCGGGCCCAGCAGTATCTATTATCGAGGCAGATGGTCTCTTTTGAGCAACAAGGCTGAAAAATATTAACTGCCCTCCCCATTGTTGTGTGGCATAAATTGTCCTCTCTCTCTCTCTCTGCGATTCATGTGGTAATAAGTATAACTGGTCACAGCACTTAAGCTCAGAGGAGCCGGATTGATGGCTTATTCCCATTCAAATGATGGGGGCATGGCAGAGAGAGGGAGAAGTGATAAGGCTGAAGATGCACATTTCACAAAAAAGGAAATGAAAAAGGAGTAAACATCACAGAGCGGACATGAAAAGTAAAGAGAAATAATGGGTCTGATGATGAAGTTTAGTTGAATGAGATCAGCTGGAAAGCAACGGATGGAAAAACATCAGAGTCCAAATGTTTGTTCACATAAATATGAAGTCCCATTTACTTTTAATTACTTTGGCTGTGTGTGTGCGCTCTGTGTGCATGCTTGTGTTCTTCTGTGTGTGTGTGTGTGTGTGTGTGTGTGTATATATATAGGCATAGAATAAACATTATAGGCATTACTCACTTTATTCACAGAAAGCTTGTTATATTTGTAACCAGGTCAACCACACATGTTGAACCACCACGTTTCTACAGTTCTGCTATGCACTGGCAGCCTGACAGACAAATTCAAATTGCAAAATACAAATTGGTCATTTATCCGTGGGCGCTGGCCAAAGTGCCTCTGGATGCAGTTGGATAGACCTACAACCATTCAAAGGAAATGAATAGCATAGTTGGTAAATTAAACTTACCAAATCCTGTCAGAAGTATGGCAAACACATCTTTCATGTCAAACAAACACTTTAACTGCACTTGTTTGTTCTTAGCAGAAAATACACCGTCCAGTTTGTTTAATACTGATGTGATAGCAGATTCAACAGAAACAGTTCCACATCAGCAGCAGCCATCTTACAGAGCCGACAAAACAATTGAAGTGAGAGGGACAAAATTAGCATTTTGAAAAGTGAGGGAGACATATTAAAAACAACAATGTGTACTTATCCACGGCTAATAGTCCCCCCCCAAAAAATCGACATTTCCCCCTGTTTGAGGGTCATTTGATGAAACTGCAGTGCCCAGCTGAAATTATTTAGCCTTTTTTTTTTTTAAATTAAAGCATATATTTATGACCCATTTTTTTTTAAACTTTACATGTTGAGTGAGAACCCTAGGGTTTGGGGCTGAGAGCCACAGAAAGGCTGTGGAAGCTGGATAGTATTGAGACATGGACCAACACATTGTTGGTTTTCATATGTTCAATGGACTTGTTAGCAATAATACATATATACAGTATCTGCAGCCTTCTACTTTAACACGTAGAGTTTTGTTACTGTATATTTTTACAGGAATGTTAGAACTTGGCCAGTATTTC